CCCCCCCCCCCCCCCCCACACACACACAGAGAGAGAGACAGAGATACTCTCGCATGGTGTGTGTGTGTCGTTCCTTCAGGCGCTCGCAAGGGAGAGGGAGTCCGTGGGTGCCAAGGTGTAGCAGACAGGCGGTCGGTCGGTCGGCCGGTCAATCCCATGGTTTTTTGGGACACCCACCCACCCATTCGCACGACGATTTGTCCGTCTGCATCTACACATACCGCCGATCTACATCATCAGTCAGTCAGTCAGTCAGTTTCTATCGATCCTTCCGTCCATTGAGCTTTTCTTTCCCCGCTGTGTGTCCTCTCCGCTCGTCACTTTTGCCTGGCAGTGCTGCGACCCTGAATCACACACTATCATGCGCATGACCACCCATCCATCCATCCACTGCACATACCTGTGTTGAACGTGCAACGACCGACAGACGCGAAAGCCAGGCAGCTGCCGTGTGTGGCACGATGTCGACTGAGTACAGTGGGTACGTTCATGAGTGCGCGCGTGTGTTTCGTAAGTGCGTGCGGGCGTCTGTGGCTGCCGGCAGTTATGCAGGCAGGACGGCAGGCCGTGTGTGTCCATCGGCACACGAACGAACGAGTATGCGTGTTGTCGTGATGTGTGTGTGTGTGTGCGGACCCCCCCCGTCGGTGTGTCAAGGTTGTGGGTGTGTGTTTTGCGCAGACACGAAGGGAATTGGTGACCGGTAGCTAGTTTTGGTGCTGCTGGACCCGACTCGACCTGACAGACAGGCAGGCAGGCAGGTCACAAAGAAGGAAGTTCTGTTTTTGGTGTGTCGCGTAAGTGGATGGCGTGCAGTTGACGGTCTTTTTCTAGTGCCTCTACATACAGACACACACCCAGCTGGTCGGCAAGCGGCGTCGACCGACCTTCACGCGACCTGTCTGTCTGTCTGCCCAATGCGTGTGTGCATGTGTGTGTGTCGATCGGTCTTCTGTGCTTGCGTACTAGTCACGATGTTATGTTATGTCATGTGCTGTGTCGTGTTGTGTTGTCATGTGATGTGATGGCTCTCGCCACGCCTCCCCAAGCGCCAGCCACGTGTGCCTGCCTGCCACAGGACGTCACCGGTCTGTTTTTTGCCGAGTGACCGGCAGGCCGGAAGGCAGGAGCGGCCCGGCCGTGCATGTGCACTGTGTGTTTGTGGATGTGCGTATGTGCGTGTCTGTTCTGGCCCTAGCCTTTTTTTTTCACAAGCATCACAGGGCGCCCACGGGTGCGGGACCGATGCTTGCTTAAGCTTCCTTTCCTCTCTCGTCACCTTTTTACTCACTCACGTGACCCTCTGCTGACCTGACGTGCGCACATATGTACCTCCTGGTGTCCGTCCGTCCGGCTGTGTACGTGTGGTGTGTGCGCTTTTTGACGCGCACACACGGATGTCGGAGAGAGAGCTTGGTTTTTAAGAGAGATGCAGTGTGTGTGTGTGTGTACGAAGCTAGTGGGCCGGTAAGGCAGTGCAGTCCGTCAGTCAGTCGGTCCGTCAGCACGCACATGTCGATCAGCTGTTTATCCAGATACGACAGGTGCACTTGTGTATGTCTGGTACAGCGCACATCCAAACAACCCGGACACTCTCCTAGCCAATCCGATCTTGGCCAGCAGGACGGCGCACTCGCCCGTTCCTTGCTCTTTTTTCTTCCCCCAGCGGTTTCCGCGTACCCATAGCAAGAGTAGAAATGGATTTGGTGGATACCACGACGCAGCACCCGGCTGAGCAGCGGCCTCTCTCCGAGTCGCCCCAGGGCGCATCGGCCAACGCGTCGGCGTTGCTGGATTCCATCCGCACGAAGGACGGCTATGACCAGGCGGTGGCCGAACGAGGTCTTCAAGCCGTGGAGGCCGAGATCTCTGCCGTCATGACCCAGATCTCCACCAGCATCGCCACAGCTTCCGACAGCACTTCGCAGCTGCTGCAGCCACTCGTCCAGCTGGTTTCCCTCAGGCATGTGCCGTGCATCTCCCAGAAGGCCATCGATGCAGACATCCTGCCGCTGCTGGTGGAGCAGCTGGGCGACGACCACCCTCCCGACCACCAGCAACAGGCGGCATCCGCACTGGACGACATCGCATCCCCGCCTACACTTGGCGTCGGGCCAGAGGTGCAGGCCGTCATCAACGCGGGTGTCGTTCCGCCCCTCGTGCAGCTGGTGTCGTCACCCGATGACGGCGTGTGTGTGGCGGCCATGAAGGCACTGGCCAATCTCGCCAACCCGATGCTCCTGGGCGAGCAGCGCGGCCACATGCTGCAGCTGGGCGTCCTCGCACGACTGCAGACGACGATGCGCGAGAGGACAGCCTTCGAGGTGCTCCGCTGCGGTGTAGACCTGCTGCGCGGACTGTTCCTCCTGAACTACGACCCACCCGCATTCCACGAGATCGGGCCCTTCGTGCCCGTCCTGGCCAACATCATCCGCACCCACACGCCCAACCAAGATGACCATCTCCTGCATGGAGCCATGTGGGCGCTGGCGGCCATCAGTGACGGCAGGGACGAGGATGAGCATCGCGAAGCCGTGGTGGCGACCGGGGTGTGTGAGCAGCTGGTGGGGCTGCTGGCGGAGAAGTGGGGTCTCATTCCAGAGAACGCGTTAACTGTGTTAGCCAACATTGCACAAGGTCAGTTGCCCTGACGCAGAGAGGGAGGGGAAGGAGGCCCATCGCTTGGTTGTGTGTCCATGGTGGTGTCCATGCAGGTACCGATGCCCATCGAGATATGCTGGTTGGGTATGGTGTCAACCAGCGGCTCAGCCAGCTGCTGCAGCCACCGGCGACCAACGAGATCATGCAAGAGCAGAGGCATCCGCGCGCTGCGTCTGGCGCAAGCGCACGACGCTGCCTGTCGTGTCCTCCTGATCATCGTCTGTTTGGGTGAGAACGAATGCATACCAGCAATTGTCCCTGACAGATGGCATTCGTGTGTGTGTGTGTGTGTTTCTGCGAGTGAAGGGACGAGTGGTTACGTCCAGACGGTCATCGATAATGGAGTCATGCCGCACCTGCTCGACATCATTACGGCGGACAACATGTACGCCGAGAGCGGCCTGACCATGAACATCGAGTACATCGTCTGTGGAGGGCTGCCACGCATCAAGCAGGCTGCAACACAGGCCATAGCCAACCTGGCAAACAAGGCATCGCAGCAACAGGTAGGTAGCTGCGGGATGCGAGAACGGATCGTATTTCTTCTTCTGCCATGACTCATCCATGTGTCCAGGGCCAGTGTTTGGTCGAGTATGGGTGTGTGCAGCGCCTCTGCGGCCTCCTGGACACCACGGATGACCCAAACGTCCTCGTGGTGCTCAGCAACATACTCGCGTAAGCAGACCACTCACAGGAGCACGGCAGGATATGTGTGCATGTGGATGTGTCTTCAGCCATGGCAGGGACAAGCAGGTAGCCGAGGGCCTTCCCCACAACCCCTTCAGCCAGCTCATTCGAGAAGTGAGTGACATAGCGACAGACAGACGCACAGTGTGATGGTGGGCTCTCCCCCTGAGGTCATGTTTGTTTGCACACGCAGGCTGACGTTAGCAGGTTGGTGGCGCTGCAGACACACGACAAGGAGGACGTCGCATTTGAGGTAGGGATGCAGAAGCAAGAAGAGACATCGACCACAAAGTGCCTGCCTGTTGTTGTGTTATGCGTTGATTGACGCAAATCAGGCAATGAGGATTCTTTACTACAACTTTCCCGACCGTGGTGACACGGATCGCTACGAGGCCGCTCGGGCCGCCCGCCAGCAAGGCCAGCAAGGCGAGAATGACGACAGTGATGGGGTGGCCGATCTCGACACCGACGTGGACGACGACGATAGCGAGGAAGAGGGGGAGGGAGGTGTGGAGGGGAATGGAGGGGCAGACGGCCGAGCGGAGGGGTAGTCAGTTAGCCGACTTCATGCCATTGCAGCAGAGCCATAGATGGATGGATGACAGAGGGGAGGGAGAGACGTGTAGCGTAGCTGACGGCCGGACTCATCGTGTGTAGAAATGACTGCTCGCTGATGTGTCAAATGTTCATGGTCACGAAGCGGGCGTGCACGTGTCTGAGTCGGGCAAGAATAATGACACAGCGAGGAGACAGAACCCGACCTTGACAAGGATGCAAACGCCTGAGATCATATTTGCGTCAGTCGGCCTCCGTGTGAGGGATTTATCTGGGGTGTGCCTCTCGGGCGTGCACGAGAGCTGCAAAAGCATATATGGATCGGCTGAATCAATCCATATATCGGTCCGCCACGCGCAGACAGAGAGACACCACGCACACGCATCCATCCATCGATCCATCCATCAGTCACTCTCTCTCACACTCTATCACGCACGGGCAGGACAACACGGCAGTCAGTCGACGGACGGAGCGATAGTAATCAACACACACACACACAGACACACATGCAGATGGACAGACAGACGGAGACAGACAGCATAGCACACGGGGATCGGCAAGGGAGACGGCCAGACAGACGGGGAGACAACATCACACACGATGGGGGGCAAGAGGGGGAAGGGCACGGCACAAGGCATGTAGACATGTAGACAGATAGACGATTAGTTAGATAGACAGGCATCGACACATCATCGATCGCATCGCTTTAGACGCCTGCGTGGGTGCATGGGGGCCCATGCACACACACACACACATATACACATATACACATCTACACGGGTAGGGGTGCATGGCATGGCATATGGGCGGACGAAAGGATGAAGATTACCCTCGCAGAGAGAGAGAGACGGACAGACAGACAGACAGACAGACAGATGGACAGAATGACCGGCGTGCGATGCTGGCATGCAGGCAGCGAGAGCCTGCCATAGCAAAACGGAGCATACAGGCAGGCAGGCAGGCAGGCAGGGAGGGAGCGAGACGTGGAGAGACCTACCCGCAACTAGAGAGAACACAGAGAGACGTACACGCACGCACTAGAGCCGCCGATCCATCCATCCATCCGGGCAGCCTATGGGCCGTCCGTCGTCCGTTTGGGTAGAGAGGGCGATAGCATACAGACTGATATGATGGAGAGGGGGAGAGGGTGTGAGTAGGTAGGTAATACTAGAGAGATATGGAGAGGGGGACAGGCAGTCATGGGGAGTGTGTGCATTGCAATGCAGTCCATGCATCCATCAATCCATCCTAGCAGCGAGAGGGGAGACGACAAAACCTAGTCTAGCCTAGCCAGCACACCACCAGCCCACCGATAGCCACACCAAACGATCCACCCATCCATCCATCCATCCAAAGATCCATCCAAAGATCCATCCCATCTACTCAGGCCGCCCCGCCTCCGCCCCTCCTACTCGCCCATCTACAGTACCAGGGACAACTGTCCACCACCCACACACCAAGCACACATGAGACAGAGAGACACAGAGAGAGAAAGAGAACCGCTCACACCTTCACTCAAAAAAATGACATCTGCTCATCGACATGACGACGATCACGACACACCGACCGACCGACCGACCCTTTCCCTACTACGCCGACACGGCACACGGCACACGGCACACCAACCAAGCAAACAAGGCCGGAAGGGGTCCCGTGGAAATTCAATGAATGGATGGCATGCCGTGTGTGTGATGGATGGTGGTCAGCATGAAAAATACATTGAACGATCTTCGAGAAGCGACACGATTATCAACATACATCTGTAGGTAGGAGGCTGTACACAGCGAGACAGACAGACAGACAGACGGGCGACGAGAGAGCGATCAGGTAGTGGCGAGACGGATGGACGGACAGGTCGGCAAGTAGGCATACGCGGCGCAAGCTTGCGAAATAGCATGGTGACAGTACCCTTAAGATGTGTGTCGGATCTGTGTCGGGTGTGTGTGCGTGTGATCAAAAAGTGCCACTCACGCACACATGGGTGCACTCATCATACAGGATGCAATGCCATGTGTGCCTCTCTCTTACGTGGATGGCGTGAGATGGGTGGCTGGGTGGGTGGAAAGCAGTGGGTGAGTGAGTACGAACATTCTTCTTCTGTCTGAGACCCCCAGAGCAATCGAATCAGTCTCTCTCTCCCGTGTCGATGGATGCCTGAATGCGTACGCAAGAAGGAGCCGCCAAAAAAAGGAACCACGCAGCTTCACTCACTCTATCACACGTCGGGCGGGGCGGGGTGGCGTGGGGTGGGGTGGGTGCCATCTATCCATCCGTCACCGTCTGCCATGTCATAGATGCAGACCGATCGATGCACGACACGAGCCCGACCACCCATTC